CTCAGATGGAATCGTCGTCCAAAGGGGAGCTTCCAGCAAGTCAATATGGGGTTAAAACTATCTCCTAATGAGGCTTCAAGGAACTGGAGGGGCCTGAGAGAAATGGAAATGGGAGCATAACCAGAACCACCACAAAGCGAGTCCACGAGCACCTTCCCTCCTGACCCAGAAACTCAAGAGTATAGAGTTTGGAAGGGTAGGAGAAATGAAATAATGGCTGACTTGTGAATAATGATGAAAATATTTGATGATGTGACTCCCAGGGAAGCAATTATGGTTAACCCCTCATTTGTTTGGCATTTTCAAGGATTGAACTGTCCCACATAACTGAATTTTCCAGACAACTAAAACTTTCCTATTTATGTGCCTTGAATGTTTTTAACCATGCTTGGTGGAAATAGTTCTCAAATAGATTATACAATCTATTCCCTTGAACAGAAGCTGTAAGAAACAATGTTTTCTTAGTTGCCTTTGACTCCAAGTCTGAGAAGACGTGATTAAAAGAAGTTTAAATAGTCAGGACTCATAACTGTCTCATGTAACATGACATCCAGATCTGGGCAGTAGCAGAGATGATGGATTTGACAGCGGAGTGATGTCAGGCTGACTTTCCCCACATGGTCACAAGATGAGGGCACAGATTTGCCTTAAGATCTCATGTGATAAGATGTAGGCAGGAATGAAATGGGGGTCTTTAACCAGAGATGAAAATTTTTCTCAGAAGACCCCTCGCTGACTTCCTCTCAGGTTCCATGGGCAAGACTGAGTCATTCCTATGCCTGGGCTTTATGAAAGACTGAGGGAGTGAATACTCAGCACTTTTGGACTGTGGGGTGGGAGGAGGGTGCTGTCCATAGAAAAGAAGGCTGGAGAATGGCTGTTGGATAGGCAACCAAGAGTGTCAGCCCTGGTACCAAGAATGGGAGCGAACATCACTATGTATGGTAATCGCTTGAGGGATGGTTGAGCGCTTTGTTCCTACACTGAATGGCCCAGACTGGGATGCTTTTTGATGAACTAAGTCTGCTTTTATTTACTATTCTCTCACCTTTCTTTGGGCCAGACTGCTGGTTATCACTACTTGTTGTTCATGTACCTTGTCCTAATCTTGCCATAATTAGATTTTTTTTCTGGAAAAAAAAACTCATTAGAACTGTGCCTGAAATGTACTGAGTATCTGACAGCTTTCCTATGGATCAGATGCATAGCGCAGCATTTCCTTTGGCTGTTCAGTGTCATTTTTCCCATTGTTGAGATTTGGGGGAAGTGAGGAGTTTCTAGAGTCTTGTGAACTTAGATACAACTCTCATGAAGTCTTCCTATGGGGAAAGGATGAGCATTTAGGGACAGTGAAGCTTATTTACTAGAGAAGGGAAAACCATCAGAACCTCAGCATGATTTAAAGAGAGAGGCAGCAAACTGATCAGTGCATTCAGCTCCCTCTCAAAGCTGTATGGCTGGTGGTTGCTTGAACAGCACCACCACCAGCTCTGGGACTGTGACCCGTGGAACCAGTCACCGCAGCGACCGTCCAGCATGAGACAAGCTGGTGCAGAACTTAATTATTCCTGCCTGCTGCCAGGGCGTCAGAGCCCTGTGAGGGACACCTGTGAAATGCCCAGGTTGAGCAGAATTAGAAGTGTTTGGGTGTGACTTGTTTCAACAAGTTCTTGAAGACAGTCATGCTTTGAAAATGGTTATTGAAATTATACCGAACAAGGGAGGACCATCCCTTCTGTGGGTAGAGAGCTGACCAAAATTCAGTCTCTGTCTACAGGAGGAAGGAAATAGGAAGCAGTTGTCAAAATAGTACTGACAGTGAGTAACTGAGCCACATGGGATGTTTCTACTCTGAGAATCGAACCCGAGCTCATAGACAGGTTGGGTTCTAAGGAAGCAAATGTGAAAATGTTCAGATTTGATGTGGCTGAGACTCTGAGCCCAGACAGCTTAGAACCTTGGGAGTTCCCTAAAGCAGATTAGCTATTTGAAGCCCTGCAGTCATTATTTTGCTATGCATCAGAAAATCTTGAGCTGGCCTATAGGCAAAATGTAGTGACAGAAACATTTGAGGATAAGGAAAACAGGTCTTGTTTATTTGTTTTTTTAAACACTCCTCTTTTAAAAAAATTAATTGATTTATTAATTTTTTTTAATTTGGGGGGAGGTATTTAGGTTTTTATTATTTATCTTTAATGGAGGTACTGGGGATTAAACCCAGGACACTGTGCGTGCTAGGCACACTACCGCTGAGCTATACCTTCCCCCCTTTTGTTTTTGTTTTTAATTCTGACTAATTTGTCCCATTCAAGTCATTCTTATAAGAAAAATGCAAAGTTATTTGTCATAAGTATTTTAGGCATTAACCCCTTCTTATGCTTAGAACACTTTGAAAGAAGGCAACCTTTTATTGACTGCTGACTGATCCAGACAGAGTACATCTTAGTTAAGCTGAGCGAGATATTTATATTTTTCTAATTTTATTTTCTCACATGTGAATTCATACGTATTACCGGTTTTATCTCTGAATTGCTCTGACCATTCCTGCCCCCCTAATAATCCAGCCACTGGGTTCAAATGTTAATATTGGCTTCAACTACACTTTTTAAGAAAACTCTCCATGGAGAAATAGTCATGTTATCAGTGCTTTTGAGGGGATCATGGTACAGATCAACATACAGCTGGCTAGCAATTTTTTTTTTTAATCAGAACAACTCACTTGCCCAGGTAAATAAATTTACATTCACATTTTGAATTGTTTCTGGTCTTAATTGGGCATTTATAGAAGGTCAGAGTGAATGGTTCAGAGCTAGGTGGGAAAATCATTTTTCAGCATATCAGAATACTGGCAACTCATTTTCTACAACAAAAAAGGAGCCCCTCAAAAAAAATTTCGTCCCAAAGCCTCAAAAAGCTGATAGTTTGAGAATCATGAAGTTTGTGGTATTGTCTGTGTTCCTTGAATACTGAATGGTGACTGTACTTACTTTAAATTTAGAAATTATTCCCACTGAATTTTATTATTTAAAATTATTGCTGTTTTGAGGGGAAGCTTGCATGTTAAATACTTTTCACCAGTGCTATTGCTATTTCTCTGGGGGTTAATCTGAATATCATTTTATATTTGGAAACTTGTATATAAAATAAACATAGTTGAAGTCAAATTAAAGTATATGTGAATAGGCATTTTTATAAAATTAATCAGAGGAAATAAAATGAATCAAAAGAGGGAAACAATTTCAGAAAACAATATTTGTTGAAAATGACTGAAGATGTTACAGATCAAGCTCTGTAAGATGAAGGGGTTTATAAGGGTTTTCTGAATCCATTTGAGTGAGTCTGTTTTTCAGGTTTTGTATTGTTCCTATATGTTACCAGATCTCTGCTTTGGCACAAATAGACATGTATTGAAACTGCATTGAGGCACTTGGAAAATGTGACTAAAAAGTGGACATTGAAAATTTTGCCACTCTTCTTTGGTTATGCAGTGATTCATTTGTAGAAACCCCCTGTGGCACTGACTCAGAGTCAAATATACCCAGAGGTCTAAGAGGCCCTACCAACTGGACATTTTTTTTTTAAGTTTGCTACAAACCTAACTTCCTTCAAGAAATCATTTTGGGTACTTAGAGGGCCCAGTCCAAGTCAAATGTCACCCTAAAATGACACAGTGATAGATATATAACTATCTAGTATGTATTTTAATTTCATATATTTGTCTCATGTAGCCAAAAAGATGAACCTTGTACATCCTTCACAGTAGAGACTTCAGCTGCCTAAATTGTCATTATGACATGGCGAGTGTGTTGTGAGCAGGTTATACCAGTATTCTCAAGAGTAGGAGGCAACGTGGCCCAGTTGAAGGAGCTTAGGATTTAGATCATGGGGCTAGAGTTGAGTCCTGCCTCTGCGTAGCTACGGCGTGAGCAAGTTAAGAAACCTCTTGGCATCTCAGGTTTGTTCATCTGTTAAATGCAGATGGTAAAAATAATGTCTGCTTCAAATAGTTATAAGCATCATATTGGATAAAGAATATAAAATTACTCTGTAAAGCTAGAAAAGTCTGTGCACATTTTTCTTGTTATTATTTTTTATAAATTAATATGCCTATCCCTTGTCCTAGAAGTGAGGAACAGTCACATATTATATACACATTATATACCTTGAGAAATGTGCTATTGAAATTGTGTTTTTAATGAGTTTGCCTTAACTAAAACAATTGATTTAAAGGATCCCCAAGTGAACAGATAAGGCACCTAATACTTGTTAACAGGAAATATTAGAATCAGTCTAAACTGTAACAGTAGATACATGTAGTGCTCAGATTCGGCCCTGTTGAATTCCATGGAGGAGCTCCCGCTGATTTAAGAGATGTGTATGATAACACATAAGGAAAAATATAAAACTGCTGAGTATCAAAATTTACTGCTTGATTGGAAGTAAAGTGACAACTTTATTTTTTTCTGGTGGTCCAGTTACATATCCTATAAAGAAGGAAGATTATCACTTGCCCTCTTGAGCCCCTTTCCACATTCATTCTTTAAGGAGTCTGCATCCCACATCCTCCATCAATTTCTAGATGAGGAAGACACTGCCCAACCTTTGAGGAATTTATGATATAATAGAAACTTAAAACAGATATACAACTAACTGCCCCGTGGAATACTAGACAAGGTAAGTGTCATAGCAGGTCAGGTGGCCAGGGTGCCCAGCTTCTATAACCATTTCATAGCATTCCTTCAGCACCTATGCATCATGCCTAGTATTGGTTAAACTTTTATTTATGTGTGATCTGCCTCTCTACCTAGACTGTAAACTCCTTGAAAGCAGGGAAGGTACACTGTGTTTCTTGGTCCCACTCTCCATACTTTTCACCTAAGCCTCAACCAGGATTTGTGGTTCACATAGTGTCTTGTACCTAACATTAAAATTTAGCTTAAAAAGTGTATTAATGTACATTTAAACCCTAACCACCTTTTCCTTGTTTTCTGTCTTTGCAGTTGACCTGCCCCTGTTTTTTCCTCGAGACCAGCCGACTCTCACGTTCCAGTCCGTCTATCACTTTACCAACAGTGGACAGCTTTATTCCCAGGCCCAGAAAAATTATCCATACAGCCCCAGATGGGATGGAAACGAAATGGCCAAGAGAGCAAAGTAAGTGAATCAATCGTTATTTCTTGCAAATGGGAAACATTTTTTAAAAAACCAGTCCAGGGATTGGCAAGTTGCTGCCTGCAGGGTAAATCCTGCCCTCTGCCTGTTTCTGTAAATAAAGTTTTATTGAAACATAGCCATACCCATTTTTAAACTGATTTTCTACAGCTGCCTTCATGCAACAATGGCAGAGTGAGTAGTTCCAGCAGACCACATATGGTCTGCAAAGCCAAAAATATTTAGTTTTTGGCCCATACAGAAAAAATTAGCCAACCCCTTATCTAGCCTGATGAGGTAGATTGCCTTTTTTATTTTAATGGGTTTCAGGATTTATCTGAAATCTATCTCTCTATTTGCATTAGAGAATAAGTACTAGGTAGGAATTGGAGTTATGGATAAATGGTGTCAATGATGAAAATGTTGGCAGCTACTTTCATATTTTTTTAATTAATGGAAAATTTCAGCTAATGGTAAGTGAATAGAATTTTGCCTAGTAGTCAATACATGGGTCCAGTACCTAGTTTTTCATATGGAACTAGAATGTCTCTGAAGGAACAGAGTGAATTATATACCTCGTTGCATCTCTTGCCCCTCCCCAAAGTAGGGCCTGTATCTTCTTTTGTTAAATAAATTGCCACACAAATAGCTTAGAACTTTTAAAATCCTTATGAAAATAAGTTGGGAGTTTGATAGAGGTTGGAGTTGGCTGGAGTTTGGAATTTAGAAATACAACTATTGCACACGAACCTCTCTGTGGAAAGTTTTCACCCGTCATGTGGACTAGGTCAGCGTAGAAATATGCAGAGTATTTTTTATAGGTAAGACTTCAGTACCCAGAACACAAGTCTTCATGAACCGTGGCCTCCTAGATTGAAGCAACAGTCGATCAACATCATAGTTTCCAAAAATACATCACAGTTAGAGTGGCAGGTGGTTATTACTTTATCACTCTGAACCGCCAAATGCTCACACCTGTGATCCCAGCTGAAAGATGATCAGATCCAAAGAATCACAGAAATGGAGAATGTCTATGAAGCATCCTCTTCATTTGCTCATCCAGTATTTACTGAGCATCTACCATGTTCCAGGCAGTGTGCCCATGCTGGGATGCAGTGGTAAACAAACGAGAAGTTGTCCATGTCTTCATGGAATTTATACCCCAACAGCAGAGATCAAAGCCTTTATCATATCAAACTTGTGACAGTTTGAAGTACTGACTAATAAAACCTGGCCTTCCAGACCTAGAATGCTCTTGATAGGTAAGACTTCTTTCTCTTGCCTCCCCCTCCCTCAGACCTCTTTCCCTCCCCAGGTTCCTCCTGCCTATACTTTCTGTAGTACAAGGCCTTCACTCATAGCAGGACTGGGGCTCTTAAATAATGACAGAGTGGCTTTCTCTAGAAATCCAGACCGCCTCTGATTCACGAGTGCATTCCAGGGCTGTTGTTATCCAGACCTTCAGTGGCTCCCTTTCCTGAGTGTTTTCCTCTTTTGTGATACCCAAGTCTGAGATACTATTTAAGGAAAAAAACAAACTTATGCAAATGTAACTGATAACAATGAGTAAGACTTACTTATCTTGAAGGATACTTGAAGAAAATGGATTATAAAGTAGGTTTTATGTTTGAGGCCCTGCAGTTGTTTAATTTTCTGGGCTTTCCCTGTGTGTACATAGGATCTGCCCTTAGAAGATGGGCTGTTATTTGTGGTATGTACTGTGGAGTCTGAACCAGACATGTTTTTGTGGTTTCCATGGCAAAGCTATCTTGGGTGTGTGTGTGCGTGCGTGTGCGTGTGTGCGCGCGTGTGTGCGTGTGTGCGTGCGTGCGTGCGCACGTGAACATGCTCCTTAAGTAGACATTTTAGCGTGTATGAATTGAGTCTTTAAGAAGCTGCAGACCACAAGCCTATGATTTCAGTATAGGAATATTGTTAAGTGAAGCCTGTTTATCTTCACAGATTGATTCAGAGTTGCAAGAGACATTTGCTTTACATTACCACTAGCCTAAAGGAAACATCTGAAGTAAATTTTTAAAAATCTGCTTTCTACTGTAATGAAGACAGATCCATTTTAAATGTAATAAAAGAGAAAGACAGCTTCTCATGCTCGAAAGAAGAAATACTTTAAAAGGTCCTTTCTTAAACTGACCTAAGTAACTTCCCTGGGCTGTGTTAGAAGGCCAGGTCATGGATAAACACAACCAAAGGACTGTCCTGCAGTACAGGCTAGAGATCGGTGGAGAAGGTGGAGAGAAAGGACAGAAAGAGAGAAAGGTCAGCTGCAGCATTCCTTACACGCCCTGCTTCTTTGTCCTGTGAAAATATTGTATGTACACAGTGCATGAAAGGCTGTAATTCACTTGGAGAGCTCGGCCCAGGACATAAACACTCTCACGGTTTATGGACAACATTAGAGCCCGTGAGTGGAGTCAGCTGTGTATTCTCTCCTGTAGAGCAAAATTCTGAACGTGGGAACTCAGAAAGGACACTTTCTGGCACTGACCAGGGCTTTTCCTATGACATGTACTTCTTGCTCATGGCTGTCCGGCAAATCCTGTGCTCACAAGTGAAACACCCTCTGCTGGGTGAGCACAGGCTTCGGGGTCACGTGTGCCCCAGTTCCTATCACAAGTTCTCATCTCTAAGCTCTGTGGCCTTGGGAAGGGCTATTAACTTTTCTGAACTTAATCCTATAAAACCAGACTCGACTCCTCCCAACGGATGGGCTTGATATGAAGGGTCAGTCAGTGGGTGGGTGGACGTATGAGGTACCCTGGGGTTTAGTTTCCACTTTGTCCCCATGGTGCCTTTACCCACCGCTTTCCTCCTGCTCTCTTCCTGCTCCTTCAAATCTGTTCATCCTTCCACATTCTTCCTTATGGTTCTTCCCTCCACGCTAACTTGCAGGCAGCTCTTTCCCCCTTTCCAGGTTCGGTTGACTGTTGGTTTATACTGCTTTGAAGTCTCTTTTGTATTATTCTTTGATTTTTCCCATCTTCGTATTTCCTTAATCAAATTGTGAGTTCTTTGAAATCAAAGATTTTGCATATGTATCTTTTAAAAGATATTTATTACAGTGTAATTTATAGTATGTAAATTATATACGTACAGTGAAGTGGACAGAATTAATGTATCTTTCGATGGAGTTTTGACAAACTTACCTTCTGCCCCTTTTCAGTTAGTCTCCTCACCCCCAAGACAGTGCTGTCTGATTTCTATCATTGTGTCTTGGTGTCTCCTCTTCTAGATACTTCTTACAAATGGAATAATATAGATTGTACTCTTTCCTGTCTTTTGGGTCAACAAAATTGTTTTAGATTTATCTGTTATGGCATTCTTTTTTTTACTGCTGAGTAACATTATATGAATGTACTATAATTTACTAATCCATTCATCTGCATATGTATGTTTGGGTTGCTTCCAGTTTGGGGATTTTTATAAATAGAGCTGCTATGAACACTCTTTTTAGTAGATATATGTTTTCAGTTCTGTGGGTAAATACCTAGGAGTGGGAATTTGTGTATGATTAACTGTAAGAATCTGACAACCTTTTTCTGAAGTTGTTTTATCTGTTTACACTCCCACCAGCAGTATGCCAGGTTCCAGCTGTTCCATATCCTCTCCAACACTTAGTATTGTCAGTCTCTCTAATTTTAGCTATTCTAGAGGGGATGGAGTGATATCTTATTGTGTTTTTAATTTTGATTTCCTGATGATTAGTGATGTTGAGCATCTTTTCATGTGGTAGATCTTCTTTTGTGAAATATCTGTTCAAATTTTGCCTATTTTTAATCAGGTTGTTGGTCTGTCTATTACTGATTTTTAAGAATTCTTTATATATTTGTCAGAAATGTGTTTTGCAGATATTTTCTCCCAATCTATGGCTTGCCTTTTCATTTTCTAAACAGTGTCTTTTGATGAGCAGAAAGTTTTTATTTTTAATGAAATCTATTTTATTGGTTTTTTTATGTTAATATTTTTTGTATGCTCATAATTATTTGCCTGCCACATGAAGAGATTCTCCTATGTCTTTCTCTAGAAGATTTGATTTTGGTTTGACATTTAGGTCTATGATCCATCTCAAATTAATTTTGTGTATGATATGAGGTAGAGGCTTAAATTAATTTTTTGTTTATATATCTCCAGGTATTTCAGCAGCATTTCTTGAAAAATCTTTCCCCATTGAATTACCTTCATGCCTTTGTCAAAATAAATGGACCATATATGAGTGGGTCTATTTCCAGATACCTATTCCAGCTCTCTGTTTTTCAGTTTGTATACCAATACAGGAAATGTAAATTCTCCAACTTTAGCCTTTTTAAAGATAGTTTTGGCTGTTCTAGGTCCTTTGTATTTCTAGAAAAATTTTAGAATCAGTTTGTCTATTCCATCCTCAACTCCCCTCAAAAAAAGCCTGCTTAGATTTTGATTATAATGACATTGAACCTGTAGATCAACAAAGGACATTTTGACAATACTGAATCTTTCAGTCAATAAACATGGTTGTATTTAGGTCTTCTTTAATTTATCTCAGAAATGTCTTAAGATTTTAGCATAGAAGTCTTGAATATTTTTAATGTTTTTGCTTTTATTGTAAATGATAGATTGTTTAGATTTTATTTTCCAGTTGTTACTAGTATGTAGGAATACAAATGATTTTTCTATATTGACTTCATGTCCTGTGACATTGCTAAGTTTACAGTTCTACTGAGTTCTAGTAGCTTTTTTTATATTTCTTAGAATTTTTTACATAACCAGTCATATCACCTGTTACCAGCTTTACTGCTTTCTTTCCGGTGTTTATGATCTTTATGTTTTTTAGTTTCTTTCTCTTTTTTACCTACTTGCACTGACTAGGACCTTCAGTCTAGTGTTGTACACAGTAGTGTGAGCAGACATCTGGCCTTATGTTTCCACATTAAGGTTGATGTTAACAGTAGGTTTTACATAGATGTCTTACCATATTGAAGAAATTTCCTTCTATTCCTACTTTTCTAAGA